TAGCAGCGTAGAAATCGGCCGAGAGCGCGCGCGCGCCGCCCGTGGTGGGCTCGGCCATGCACTGATAAAAGTTCCAGGTGGTTCCGCTGCCGCTGCTGCTGCGCACGGTAGCGGGCTGGGGCGGGCCCGAGGGGGCGGTGTAGTTGTCGGTCGCGTAGAGCTCGAGCCGGTTGGGCCCGCCGCAGTATTCGTAGGGGTTGCCCGAGCAAGGCATGGAGCAGTCGTCGAGCGAGGAGGCGTTGGCGGAGGACGCGGCGAGCGTGTTGCCACAGTAGCATTCGGCCGAGTACTCGGCGCCGAAGTACTTGTAGCCGGCGCAGAAGGCCGCGCAGTTCTCGAGCGTCATGTTGTCGGCCGAAGTGTAGGCTTTAGCATCCAGGGCACGGACGCCGCTGCCTTCGGTCCAGCAACCGACGTGGGTGTAGGGGGATACGGTGGGTTTCCTGGCTAGGGTAGCGGTGGCGGTGGCGGTGGCGGTGGTGGGAGTGGTAGAAGCGGTTGTGGTGGCTTTGGAGAGAAAAAGAGAGAGAGATGTCAGGAACCGAATCCATGTGGCTGAGGAGTCATAGGCGTTGGTTATGTCGTCTCACCTTCCGAAGATGGTGCGCTAGTCGTGGAGGATACGGTTGTTAGTCTGTAAAGCTCCAGGCGGTTACCGGCACCGCAGTACTCGGTGGCATCACCGGCGCACACCATGTTGCACTCTGTCGCAGGAGCCGGGACACTGCCGGCATTCAGACTGTTACCGCAGTAGCCTAGCCAGTGTTGCCGTTAGAAAAGCATGTCACTACTCGGGGGTTTGATAAGATCCAGAGCCACTCACATTCCCGGCCGTATTCGGTGCCGAAGTAGGTGAAGCTGCTGCAGTAAGCCGCGCAGGACTCCAGCGTCATCGAGTCGTCTGCATATCCCTTCTCAGACAAGGCCCTCACGCCCGTCGCCTCCGTCTGGCATCCCACGAAGGTGTAAGCGCCCACGGTAGGCTTGACGGCGAGGGTGGCCGTAGGGGTGGCCGTAGCTGATGAAGACGTGCGAGTCGCAGTGGTCGAGTACAGCTCGAGGCGGTTTCCAGCCCCGCAGAACTCGGTCGGATCGCCGCCGCAGACCATGTTGCAATCCTCGGCCGGCGCCTCGGTGCTGCTGGAGTGGAGGCTGTTGCCGCAGTAGCACTCCCTTCCGTACTCGGTGGCCCAGTAGTCGAAGCCAGTGCAGTTGGCCATGCACGACTCGAGCGTCATCTCGTCGTAAGCAAACGAAGCACCGCTGAGCGCGCGTACGCCCGCCCCCTCCGTCCAGCAGTCAACAAACACATAGCCACCGATGGTAGGCTTAACCGCCGGCGTCGGGGCTTCTGTGGAGCTGCTGGAGCTCGTGGTCGTGGCTGAAACGCTGGTCGAGCTTGTGGCAGAGACGGAAGTCGTCGACGTTGGAAGGGAGGATGAGGACGTAACCGTGATATTGGAGCAGGCAGCCCCGCCGGTGAAGGTGCCACAGGTGCCGGCCAGATCACTGGCCTTGTTGAAGTCATCGGTGTAGGCGTCGGCACCTGCGCCGGCTGTCACGCTGATTCTGGCGTTGTAGCTCTGACCGCCAATGATGGTAAAGCTGGCCGTGTAAAACGTGTACTGGCCGACACAGTCGCCCTCCGTCATCGGAATAGTAGCCTCGGCCAGGGCCGGAACTGGGTTGCCGTTTGTCGTGTTGCGGGGGACCAGATACGACACGCCCAGGTTCACAGGGAGACCCACGATGTCGTTGCGGACGAGAGCGGCAACAGTGAGGGCGCCCGTGCCCTGGAGCAGGCAGCTCTGCGGCTTCTGAAAGACAACGGCATCGGACATTGGGTACGAGTTGCCGTTGTTGTCGTATGTCTGGCTCGAGCCGTCATTGAGGTTTACCACGACAGTGAACGACGAGATACCGGACGCAGCCGGGATCGTGGCCTGGATGGGGAAGAACTACGATGACAGCTGTCAGCACTCCTGATGGAGATATGCCCCCAAAGACTTCATTTATGATACGTACGCCAAAGGTGTCGTCAAACCCGGTCGAGACACCCTGCAGTGTGGCCGTCACCGAGCAAGTGGCGGACGACCCGCAGCTGTTCCCGCCGGTGCGGTCCTTCCAGGTCAAAACAACGTTCTTGATAGAGCTGGCCGGGAGCTCCGTGGTCCGAACTCGGATGTAGCCGCTCAGAGAGAAGGTCGTGCCGCCCGAATTCAGCGTCAGTTGCATGTCGACCGGCTTGACGGCATAGGGCGCGATGGGGCCAGTCAGAGTGACATCGGAAGGGACGACTTCAATCATCTTCTGGAGCATGGTCTGGCAAATAGTGCGGAACGTGGCTGGATCCGTCATAGTCCGGATGGTGGCGTTTCCGTCCGATGCGAAGATCCTGCCATCCGAATTGCGGCCATTGGTTGTCGAGGACCCAACGACTAGCGGGTTCTTGGTGGTGCCGGCGACATATTCTGTGGCAACCGCGTTGTCGAAGGCCGCGTTCGTCGAGTCGAGGCCGATCTGGCCGTCGCTGGCAGCGACGATCTGGGGGAACTCGCTGCTGTGGACGGATCCTAGCGTGTGGCCGCAGGCCACGAGCTGGATCATCTCGGTCGGGGTGAAGCCCATGCGGTCAAACTGCTGCTGGAAGGTGAGAACAGAGTTCTGCGGCTGCGGAACGCCACTGCCTCCCGAGGTCGCATCCTTGCGACCCAGCTTCAGGGGGATGACGGGACCGCCGCAGGACCGGACAGAGGCGTATACTCCAGCGGCGATCAGGTCGGCTAAGCTGGAGCGGCTGCTCAAGTAGTTGGCAAAGAACTGGAGCGTCGTGGCGTGGCCCGGACCCGTGTTCTCGCCGTTGTTGAGCTCGAACTGTATCGAGCCGTCGAGGCCGCCGGTGCCGAAGTAGCGGTTGTGCGGTGCCATGTCGCTGGTGCAGAGTCAGCATTCCGATATAAGGAAGTTTGAAAGCAACAGATCCGACAAGTTCTCCCCAACGCGGCCGGTTCCTCCTCCCCTCTCCCCCCCCCCAACCCAACATACCATGATACTTCCGGCAACGTCTTTCAACTCGGACCCTGACCCAGCCACAGATGGATGCAGAGGAGACGGAACAGAACAGCACATACTGGAAGCCCACGCGCAGCCACTCGCTCGCTGTGATACGGCCAGGCCCCGCCGCTTCATTGTTGCAGGGCGTGATGATGTCGTTGAACAGACTGCCCTGGAATCCCTGAAGCTGATAGACGATCTCCTCCATGTGGTCGGTAGCCGCAGGCCATGTCGGATCGGCCCTGCCGGTCCGGGCCGCAAGGGACAGCAGCCCGGCGAAGACAGGCGCCTTCGTTCTCATGTTGCACGAGAATTCAAAATCAAAACATTAGATTATGGTAAGGGACCTCGAGAAAGCCGAAAACGAGTGGACCGGGGATCCGACTGCGCGACACGCCGACACACAACCTGCTGACAGACAGTCCGAAGTGAACGGGTCCGTACCACACTCCGTTCCGTGTAAGCGACGAGACGGAGCCAGGAGGAGAAAGCGAGAGTCAAACAACCGCAACGGTCGAGGTCGGACAAGAAAGGGAGTTGCCATGAGTTTTCTCGGGCCCGTGCAGATTGGGCGCCATTTGCTTTTTTTCTTTTCCCCATGGTCTCTTGCGGCGCTCAGCCCTCGTCCGCCTGCACTGGGCTGCATGGCGCGATGTTACCGGCAGGCGTCCAGAGCACAGCTCTTCCCCCCTGTCACTCGTATTCCCGCAAGGGCTCGGCGCAGGTCCAAGGGACGCCAAGCCGCTCTTGCTCCGAAAAGAAGTGAAAGAAGTTCGTCTGATTGGCCTCGACGCCAGCTTTATCAACGCCATGTTCCAGCCGCATTTTTTTGACCTCTTCGTGCGTTGTCGTGGGCCTGTGGAGCTCTCAGCAGCCCAGATACTGTCGCTATTGAACGCCCAGCATCCTGGGCTGCAGTTAATGTCCGTACAGGGTAAGACACGCCACGTCGACGGCCTGATTCTGTGCATTTTTCATCTCCAGCCCGACGTCTTATCGCCGGCATAGCCGGGCATCCAAGGGAGGGCCACGGTGGTACAGAGTGGGTCACTTGGCGACTTCCCAACTTCAACGCGATTGGAAGGACACCCATAGCGAGAAGCCCACTCATTGCTCGTGTCTGCGGGCTTATGCAGTAACACAAAAGAGGGCTTCTGGGCCGTGGACATTTGCTCCATGTCCCCCGATCGTGGTTCAAGGTCTTGGCATCTCCCATGATCCCACGTGGGAGTCCTGTCGTGCTGATCCGTGCCGGGTGCGGCTCAAGGTGTGAGGTTACAGAACCCACAGGGAGCGGAATGAGAGTATCTGATTTTCATGGTTCCTAACATACGCTTGTTAGCATCGGCCTTGTGTCCTGTCGAATATTGTATTGGCAAGAGTGGGTCATTCATGCAGCGACGTAGTCAGGAACAGCAAACTATCCGGAGAGGAAGGCATATACATTCACCAGCCTCCACGACAACCCAACGAGTAACAGCCTAGACATAGCAGCCAGGATCAGCAATCACTTTATCCTAGGGCATAGAAAAGCAGAGATTCCTTCGCTCAGAAGCAGTTCCCCACGGTGATATCAACACCGTCTCTCCAATGTGCATCATCCATGAAAAGCTTACGGCACCAGGCAGAGCTCACATAGAAGGTATTTTGAAATTAGACATTGCCACAAACCCGATTTCAAACCAGGAATATGAGAATTCTACATACATTTAGTTAGAAAATAGGTGAGGACGATCGAAATGTCTATGGAGGGAGTGAAAGGGTCGGAGATGGAGTATAAACGGGAGGAAGGAAAGCTCTATGTGATGAGCGAGGCAGCTGTTCTCATGCGCAATGGAAATATAGGTAGACATCCTGGAAGCATGGGACAGGAAAGAAAAGCAATGAGACGTCAAAATATCAAAGAGCAGGAGGAGAATGAGCAGAAAAAGGGGAAACAAAAGGGTTACCCCTCCGGGGAGTCGAACCCCGCGCAACGGAATGCTCTGTCGTGAGAATCCGCTATGTTAACCGATACACCAGAGGGGTGTTTGAGGCTGTTTGTTGGTAGAAGGGGACGAGGGTTCCATTTATAAAGGTCAGACGAGGGAAGGAGCGGAGGGGAAACAGGTGTGTGTGGTGTGTGTTGTCTACATAGGTATCGTTGTTGGGGTGGAAGGAGCGGAGTCATCTGCCGCTTCCCGACAGCAAACAGAGCAGGTGGCTGTTGGGCGACTTCAAGTTCCATGGGTAGCTTGATTCAAGCTCATAGAGAGCCAAGGTGATAGTAGTATGGTACATTGCAGGGATGCGTCTCTGTTGCTTCCAAGCTCGAAATCACCCGCGCTACTCGATGGAACATCTCATTTGGTGTTGAGCGGGCTTATTCAATTTCCACTGGACATTTCTTTTCTATGGACTCAATAAATACCTTACATGACGACATCTGATTGCTATCAGTGATCTAGGATTCATAGGTCAGGTGAGTCGGCCTCCAGATATGAGTGGAAGGGCCATCACACAATTTCAGGCTCAAGAGTCGGATTGAATGGTTTATCTCAAAACTACATTATGGATTGAATGAGACGGTTGATCCAGGACTTAGACGCTAAAAAGGCACTCATGATGATTTCAATACTTCCCTCAAAGTACACCTGGGCAGCAACCCGAAGAGAATATAAAGACGGCCCCTGCCGAGATATGGTGAGACTGGATCTTGGAAAGCAATCAAGTTCTCTATAGCCTGGCTTACATGGGTCTTTGCTTATTGAATCCTTCACTTTAAGCTCTTTCCATGACTGGCATGTCTCTGAAATAGCAGAGCGTGGACGCCGATATTACATGATTAGCAACCTAGCTTGAGTAGAGGAGCTCACCCCGAAACTATACAAAGCAGGTATATGAAATGCCCACAACTAAGTAGGATTTTCAATAACCAACTTCTGGGGGTGGTACTATTGCATTCCCAAAAGCATGCTCCATATGGCCAGAACAAGGGAATTCTCTAATAGAAGCTCGAACAAGCGTCGCCTGGATGATGGATTAAGGCTCTACGGGTCACAGCTTGTCCGATCTCTCAATGAAGCTAACAACTTCCTTGACAAAGCCTTCGGGGTTCTCCTCAGCAACGTAGTGTGCAGCAGCGCTCACTGTACGAGCTTCCCACTTCCCATCCTCTACTACCTCCGAAACCATCTCTTCCGCCTCCGCGGCGTGTCGACTATGCTCGCCGCTCAACACCAGCGTCGGCACTTTCAACTTCCCATCCCTTTCCAGCCTGGCCCTATTCTCTTTTGCGTCCTCAGGAAAAGCTGCATACACCTCAGCCGCGTTTTTAAACGCCCCCGGCTTCGAATACGCTGAGACATACTCGTTGATATCAACGAGACTAAATGCGTCTTCTGCGTAGTTTATCTTCTTCAGGAAGTGCTCGACATACACCCTCTCCTTGCCCTCCACCAAGGCTGCAGCCATCTCCGGCACGCTGTGAAAGTAAAATTGGAACTGCTGCCGGATTCGCTCCGGCTCCGTCGTGTCTCGGCGGTATGTCGAGGTCCCCGGCAGCGGGCACTCGCCAAACACCAGCGACCTGACACGGGCTGGAAAGTCTCTCGCCAGAGGGTAGGCTACCATCGCGCCGATGTCATGTCCTACGACGTTTACTTTCTCTTTGATGTCCAGGGCATCGAGCAATGCGATGAGATCTGCCGCCATGACGCTCTTCCGGAAGTCGTTATGTGAAATGGTTGAAGAAGGATTCGGCGTCCCTGACCCGCCTGCGCCACGATAGTCCGGCGCAATGCACCTATAGCCTCGACGAGCCAGGCGCGGGAGGACGTGCCGGTATTGGTAGGATGTCTGGGGAAAGCCGTGGATGAGGAGGATGGTGCCTTTCATGACGGTTCCGTTGGGTGGCGCTACGTCGCGATAGGCCATACTAAACGGCGTATCCGAGGCGGGAGACACGGTAGTGTGTCGGATCTGGGCCATTGCGGTCTCCATTTCTATTTCGAGACCGAGAAGGGAAGAGGTGGACTCAGGTAGTTGGGGGCGACGATAACGTAAACGACTCTTGTGTGTACTGTCTGTAGATGCTGCTTATAGTGGGCGCTAAGCTGCGTTTAATAAATAGAGACGGATGTATTTCGTAGAGTGCGGCCCTCACGGTCATTTTCGGGGATGCGTTCGCGCGCGACCGCAGTATGGTAGTTGGCGTAGAGCACGCCACAGTGACTGTGCTCAGCGCGGGGAGAGTGTGGCTGTGAGCTCTCGGGACCAACTGCCAAGACATGACCCCACGGCTTGACGTCACCGTGGAGCCCACCATCGGCCCCTTGTTGAAAAATGTGGGATGAACTCGTCCATGCATCCGGCGCAGCCACACTACACGTAATAAAGCTGCAGCGTTTCAGCGATCATGCCAATCCGCGATCGCCAGTTTGGTATGTCTTGCACCAATTGGCCTGCGGCGAGAAACAAAGACACATCGCACCCGGTGCTGAATGAGCTGGGCCCGGCATCCGGCCTCGGACGGGTCATCTCATGGCCTTCGACAGTGATGCAACAGGGCCACACCGCTGCAGCCGGCAGGGTCCGCTCGAGAGAATCCACACATCACATGAAAATCAGTACCTGAAAGAGTTGACATATCCTTTAAGTCCAGTTCATCCCCCTCCAACAAAGTGACGCGTAATCTCTGGCTGGGCGATCGCCTTTTGCCAGAACCTTTCTTTCTTTCCACTCACATAATTGCCTTGTAATGCCGAGTAACGGTAACGAGGACCAGCCTACTCATCGATCTTCCTTCTGCACTCTCGGATAAGCGAATCTTAATTCTCCCCGGCTTCTTGAAGCTTCACACATCAAAGACAACACTCAATCAACAACCTACCATGGGGGCAGCCTCTGGCATCGCCCTCCGGGGCCTGCAGTTCTTTGTCCGCACCATACAGTTCTGCTGCGCCGCCATTGTCCTCGCCCTCTTCTCCTACTTCCTAGCGACTCTGTCCAACCATGACATGTCCATCGCTACCTGGCTGCGAGCGGTCGAGGGCATCTCGGGCGCCGGCGTGCTCTACACCATCCTCGCGCTTCTGTTGCTCTGTTGCGTCCCGGGCCATCCGTTCCCGTCCTTCATCATGATGGTTCTTGACGTGGCCTTTGCCGGCGCCTTCATCTACGTCGCTACCGCCAACCGTGGCGGAGCGTCGTCCTGCAACGGACAGGTCGACACTGTATTTGGCAGAGGGAATGCCGATACCAACGTGGTTGATAATGGAAGTGGCGGATTCACGGCACTGCCGAGTCTGAGGCAGGCCTGCAAGATGGAGACGGCCTGTCTCTCCGTCTCGATCGTTGCTATGTAAGCTTTTATTTTTCCCGTCCCCGGTAACTTGCATGCCCTGAAACTAACAACGCGGCAACCAACAGCTTCTTCTTCTTCATCTCTGCTCTCCTGAGCCTCGCCTTGGTGCGCCATAGACGCAAGGAGAAGCGTTTCGGCCCGTCGCCCGCTAACGACTATACCGAGGGTTACGGCGGTCGTAAGCGCTGGAACTTCTTCGGCCTGGGACGCAAGCGCAAGGGCGGCACCGAGACGGGCACGGACCCAAATGCGCTGCCGGAGCACACCACGCCCGATATGATGCGCGACAGCTATGCAACTGAACAGACGCGGGTTGACAACAGCGGCGGTTATGGTGGACTGGGCAACGGTACTAGCAAGTACGAGTCACCATACGGCAACGCCGGGGATGGCATCCCGATGACGAGTTATCCGAACTCGACTGCTGGTTATCGGTATGAGAACAATGGCGGTGTATATCGGTAAAAGGGCAAGAAGATTGGCTGGGTTTAGACTGTGGCGGGGATAGTACACTATTAATCCATACGGACGCCAGCAAGGTGGATAATAATAAGTCGATGTACTACTTAGTACGTTGTTTTCAAACGGGGAGCTCGTAGAACGACTCTTAAGAGAATGGGACCAGCAATAGAGAAAGCACTTGCCTGATTGCAGCATCATGTAACCCACCTGAGTATGCAATGTCCTGTTTTCTCCATTGGATCCTGGTTTATTCATCAGTTGTCCTTTTTTTCTTTCCCGCGCTCCCTTTGCCGTTCTTCCTCCAACGCCATCCTCCGTCTCTCCTCCCATTTCTCCCACCCAGCCTGGCACAGATCCTCCGCCACCACCAAGTCTCTCACTCGGAACCACCTCGCGGGAGGCAATTCCAGGGCCCATGCGAGCGCGCCCGTTTCCCTCAGCAAGTAAGTAACCGCAAACCAGGCAGCCGCACATCCCGCACCCGCCGCGCACCCGGCCAGCACCTGCCGCACGGTGTGGTAGCCCAGATACACGCGGCTCCATGCCACCAGCCCCGCAACGAGCAGCACCACCGCGCTCACCAGGCCACGCTCGGCCAGCGTCCACGGAGCGTGCGCGTATGCCTCAATTGAGGTATTGAGCGCCGGAAACCCGCCGGTTCGGTATGCTCGGGAGACGTCGGCAGCCAGCCCGCCATGCCTGGTACCATCACGCTTCCCCTGCTCCCGCGCCTCTGACGAGCCCTTTCGGACAACCGCCGCCGCCGCCCTCTCCTGGCGAGACGGCCGGGGCCTATGCCGAACCAACAAAAACAGACTGACCGCCACGGCCCAGAAAACCACAAACTGCGCATGCGAACTCGGCATGCCATACCCCTTCCCCACACCAGCTCCCAGCTTCGGTCGCTCCTCCTTGATCAGCCGCTTCAGCGCGAAGTTGACTGCCTCGCACGCCAACTGGCCCGCGAACATGAGCAGGACCTCGGCCTCGCGCGTCGACCAGAGCAGGGTCACGTAGACGACGCATAGGGCTTGCGGGAGGAGGGAGAGGAAGGCGCAGAGGAAGGATAGCGGGTCTTCTGGGTTCTATGTAGTGTTGAACGGGGTTAGTTTCGAGGTTGGGGCCAAGGGGGAGGAAGGGGATGGGGAAGAGGAGGACGGACGTAGTAGACGTGGGTTAGCGAGAGGGAGGCTAACGGGGTGAAATCGTCGGCCATGGTTGG